AAACTTATTTGTGTGTTTACCTATATCTTGTCAGATGTAAACCATGCAACCAGATTAGCTTGTGGATGCTAATTCACTTTGATGTCTTAATTACATTATATTATGCTTGTGAATGGTTCAGTTAACCTTAAGGTCAAAGATGTAAGATATTGCAGGAAATAATATTACTTAAATTGTCTTCCATTTAAATTGTCTGTGCAATAATGGAATGCCTTGATAGTTTGAATGGATAATTGCCTTATGTCCATGAATACTATTCGTTTACCTGTGTATACATAGGCAATAGGGAATTTTACTTCAGAGCAACTATGTGAATTGCCTATTCTTCATTCAAGGAAGGCCTGTTGTGTTATCACGCTGTTAAGAGTACTATAGTAGCCTGCCAGAGATCTATACAAGAACTCTAGGACCTGATCCTGTTATCTCACATCTGCTTAAGCTTGGGTAGGGGAAGTTGAGTAGCAAGACTGAGGTCTCCAGCTCCAGTCTGCCTCACCCTGATATTGGACATTAACTGCCTATTTTGGACTATAACCTGATGAATTAATTCTGGAAAGAATTTTTGCAGCTCACCATCTCTACTATGAAACTGAGAACTCTATGAATATCTATATGTATAATGATCTTTTAACCACAATACTCTTTTATTTTTTTTTTATAAATCTTAGTTTAGTTAATAAGAATTGGCTGTTAGTGTGTATTAGGTTAAGATCTGAAATATTCATTGACCAGGTGGATATACATCTGATCTCTTGAGATTTTCAGTAATCCTCGTCATATTTGACTTGGCTGCCTGGGTGGGAGCCCAAGGTTGGGTTGATTTAAGGGAGCTGTGGTTTTGGCTTCTGGGTAACCAGGACGGTATTGTAGAAGCTGTTTTGTCACTGGGTTGGTAAATCTAATTATTAGAATAACCACCAGTTTTGGGGATCATCTGCTTCATTCTTTGCAGTTTGCCCTGATTGAGCAAACTCAGTGTGAGGCCCCCAGTGACACTCCCCTTCAAAATTCGGTGCATCCGAAGAAGTGGGCTGTAGTCCACGAAAGCTTATGCTCTAATAAATTTGTTAGTCTCTAAGGTGCCACAAGTACTCCTGTTCTTCTTTTTGCGGATACAGACTAACACGGCTGTTACTCTGAAACCTGTACCAAGATGGTTGATAATGCATTTGAGAGGTATTGTGATAGGGTGGCGAAATAGTGGTGGGGTAAAGATGGGGAGTTTGGAAGCATGAAGATTGGGAAGAAGAAGCGAGAGGGCTGTGAGGCTCTGAAGAACAGGCCGATAAGGAGAGGTTGAGGGGATGGAAGTAATGCTGAGGTGATAGGGTGGTGATGGCATAGTCAAGTTTAGTGAGTATGTGACTTAATAGGAGCAAGGGGTGGTTTGGATTATGGTGGATGAATAGGAGGTTTTGGTTTAGGGGATGATGGCAGTGAAAGAAAGCATAAGGTGTGATGGGTGAATGGATGGGGTAGGGTGGGGGATAAGGGTGAGGGGATGGTGGATGCATAGGTGGATGGGTGAGGGAGGTTTGTCGGGAAAGGGTGAGAAGAAAGGTATGCAGTGTGGAGGTGATCGGGGGAATGGAGACATGATGTGAGGGGTTGTCATGAAGGGATGCGAGAGGCCTGGATGGTGGGGTGCAGGGATTTGGATTGGTGGATGGATGGGGAACATGGGGACGGATGAGGCGGTGGCAATGCGTGAGGATGCGTTGGGGGTGGCAGCGGTGAGGGGTGTGGGGGTGAGGCAGTGGGAGGTACATGGGTGGTGGGATTATGAAGGGGTGGAGGCAACATATGGTGGGATGAGAGGTTGGGGACATAAGGGATATATAGGGGGGCTATGAAGGGGTAGGGGGAGGGTACATGGGTGGGGTGGGGGGGTACACGGGCAGGGAGCCCACAGGTGGGGGTACATGGGTGGGGTGAGAAGGTGGGAGACGTAAGAGGATACATGGGGGCTATGAGGGTGTACACGGGTGGGTGAGGCTACATAGGTGATGGGGGGGCATGGGCAGGGAGCCCCCAGGTGGGGTATGAAGGGAGGGGGGTCCCGGTCGGAGTCCATGGGGGTGTATGGGTGGGGGTACGAAGGGCGGATACATGGCTGGGTAAGGGTGGGGGACATAAGGGGATCATGGGGGCTATGCAGGGGTCGGGGTACACGGACGGGGAGCCCATAGGTGAGTGTACTGGTGGGGTTCGTGGGGTACTTCGGGGGTGGGAGGTGCACGAGCAGGGGGTGTCCCGTGGGGCGATGAAGGGAGGAGGGTCCCGGGTTGGAGTCCATGGGGGTGCCCAGCTGGGGGTACATGGCTGGGCGAGACCGGGGGGGGGATGCTGCTGCATGGCCCCGCGCGCCCCCGGCCGCCCCGCCGTGCACTAGCGGCGCGCTCCCGCGCCGCCGCCATCTTCCTTCCTTCCGTCGGTCTGTCCGGCCGGCCCCTTTGTCTGTCCGCAGCCCCGCCCGGCCCAGCAGTGGAGCCGGTAAGAGCTGGGCCCGGACTCGCCCCCCCCCCGCCCGTCTTGTTCCTGTCCCGGGGGGGGCATGGTGCTGGTCCGGTCCGTGTCCCGGGGGGGGGGGCGCACGGTGCCGGTCCGGTTCGGTCTGTGTCCGGGGGGCACGGTGCCGGTCCGGTCCGGTTCGGTCTGTGTCCGGGCGCACGGTGCCGGTCCGGTTCGGTCTGTGTCGGGGGAGGGGGGGCACGGTGCCGGTCCGGTTCGGTCTGTGTCCCGGGAGGGGGGGCGCACAGTGC